GGGGGCGCTCACACCCCACAAATGTTCCAGCGCCCTGCCCAGGGCGCCCTTTGGCGTACGCCGGGGGAGCGGAGCCCCAGCCCCGCGGCCGGCTAGGAAACAGAGCGCACCCTGGCTGGGTTGACTGAGTGGGGATTGGTCCTGCCTGGGGCAGGGGGCTGGACTTGATGACTCCCGAGGTCTCTGCCAGCTCTATGGTCCTATGCGCTCACACCCCACAAATGTTCCAGCGCCCTGCCCAGGGCGCCCTTTGGCGTACGCCGGGGGAGCGGAGCCCCAGCCCCGCGGCCGGCTAGGAAACAGAGCGCACCCTGGCTGGGTTGACTGAGTGGGGATTGGTCCTGCCTGGGGCAGGGGGCTGGACTTGATGACTCCCGAGGTCTCTGCCAGCTCTATGGTCCTATGGATCCGCGCCCCGCCCCCTTTAACCAGGACAGCCAGAAACCTCTTGCCAATCCCCTACCAGCTGGGCAACGCTAGCGGAGCAGGTCAGGGATAATGCAATAGACTCCAGCAGGGAGGGAGTTCCCGGCGTCCTGCTGCTTCCTAGGCAGCGGCTAGGAGCGTCCTCTTGGCACAGGTATGTGTGATCTCTGTTGAATCCTGGGGAGATTTCGTACAGGGACATTTGGGTGCCTTTTGGATGCTTATGTAGCGACTTTGCAGGACTTCTGTGGCGCCTGGCTGCAGTGTCTAGTTCTGCATAAAATCATTGTTAGTAAAGTTAGGAGCGGTTGCATACGTTGATAGAGCAGTAAATGGTGCTAAGGGCAAATCAGAGGTACAGAGAAATCTGTATCTTATGGTAAGGTGGCTAGCTCTCAGGTCATAAACCAAGAATATAGCACACGGGAGAGAAGACTACATCCTGGGAAACAGTGTCTCAGAATAGGACTTAGGGGTCATGATGGAAAGCAGCTGACCAGGCGCTCCCCATGTGGTGCTGTAACTAAGGCAGCAAACATGATCCTTGGATGAATAAGCAGGAGAATGGTGAAAAGGAACAGGGAGGTGGAATTACCACAATAGATGCCATCTGATTTTTCAACTTTAAAATATATTTGTGACTCCTGTCAATGCCTGTGTTTTGAAAAGAGGGAAGAAAAACAAACAAAACATTTCCACTGGCTGTTTGATCCTTCATGTAAATGGGGCCAAGATTTCAACCCAGCTCTTGCCTGGGTGAACAACAGAGATCTGCCAATCCCGAGTGATTCTGAAAATCCTATCCCTAAAAGCCGAGGAACCCAAAAGTGTATTAGCACTACTAATATTTTTTTAAACTATTTCTTGCAGCCTCTGTTACTGAGTCTTTATATCCCACTCCCCATTATAAGGCTATTTTTAAATAATTTGATGCATTGTTAGAAATATTTAAGAAAGTAAAACTTAGCCTGATGAATTGTATGTCTGTCTAAATAAGTGTATTACCAGCACTGTACAGTAGCATCTAGAGGTCCTGGCTGAGATAAAACCCTCAGTGTACCAGTGCCTAATACATACATGTAGAAAGACCATATCTCCAGTTACTGAAGGATCAGCAGGCTGGCGATCGAGCTTCTGGGGTTCAATATAGCAGGTCTAGTAAAGACCCACTAAATCAAATGCTAAGAAGGGCCCTGTTGGCACAGGTACCCCCTCCTGTTGCGAGGAGTGTAAGAAGTTGACAGGACTTCTCCCCTGGACCTCCTGCTGTAGAGATGGTGCCAAGCTCAGCTTAAAGTATGTCGACTCCAGCTACATTTTTATGTGGCTGCAATTCCATACCGGAAGCCAACCTTCCAGCTGTAGTGTAGACTTGGCCTAAATCTCTGCCCAGAAGAATTTACAGTATAAGGTCACAATCCTGCTCATAGAATCCTAGAACACTAGAACTGGAAGGGACATTGAGAGGTCATCAGGTCCAGCCCCCTGCCCTTAAGGCAGGACCAAACATGATCTAGATCAGGGCTGGGCAACCTTTTTTGGATCTAGGCCTCTGACCCACAGAAAGATCAGGCAGGGGCAACACACAAGTGAGAAACCAACCAACCCACAAACAACCCCCCACCCCCCGCACTGTGGGCTTCCCAATGCTGGGGGGAGCCCCAAGCTTCAGGAGCTAGATCTGGCTCCAGAGCCTTAGGTTCCCTGCCCTGATCTAGATCATCGCTGATGAGGAAGGTTAGTAATTGTGCAGCTAACACATTTTTTTTTGTCATTTACAGAATTAACCAATAAGCAGCTCCGCATTGAAAGTATTTTGGGAGCCAGGGGGTAGGCACGCTGGCTCAGTCCCAGCTTGTACAGGGTTCCCACAGCTACCCCTGCTGCCACTCTGCATTTCAAAGAGCTCAGGAGCCAGTGGGCAGGTAAGCTGGCTCAGCCACTGCTGTTGCTCTGCATTTAAATCCAGCCTGCCTGCACGCTGGCACTTGAAGTGTTTCTAATGCAGAGCCACAGTGGGGGTAGTTGCCAGGGCCTGGCCCGAGCCAGGAGTGAGTCAGCTAGCCTGCTAAAAAATTGACTTGCAGAGTCGCGTGAGGGGGAATTGGATGTAGCTGATAGTTAACTGACAAACCCCCGCTTATTGGGTAATGGTTTAATTGACTCCATTTCTAGCAGCAACCCTTGATGGCCAGCTGGGGCTCTACCCTGTGTGTATTTCCACCAATTGAAGCAGGGATCTTCCCCCTTTCCCACGCAAGGAAGCCATGCTGTACCCTATTTTTACCTCTAGACTAGGTAAAAATAGGGCACAGTCCAGGAGAGGCAGCGCTCTGTATTCCCCCACCCCACACAAACTCCTTGTAGCCACTTACACAGAGCACTGGATATACCTCCCGCACATGCTCAGTGACCTCTCGGGGAAGGGCCCGGTGTGTTACCCTCCCCACACCATGGAAGTAGTGTCCACCACCCCCACACCTCCATGGCCAGGTGTGGCAGTTTCTGAGTTGGAGCCCTGACCCAAACATT